AGACGAGGCTGCTGATGAAAACAGTTTAACCCTCATCAGGTAGAACTCCCCCTGAGTTAACTCCTGCCCGATGGTCTCTGTGCCTCTGTGAACATCTTAAAGCCCTCTGATCGTTTTATCCCTCCAGAGAGGTCAAGGTCACTCTGTGTGTGTGTGTGTGTGTGTGTGTGTGTGTGTGTGTGTGTGTGTGTGTGTGTGTGTGTGTGTGTGTGTTTGTGTGTGAGTGAGAGTGTGAGCTACAGATACAATACCATCTATACCTACCACACACACACACACACACACACACACACACACAGATTACTTTCAGAGTGTGTTCCCTGAAGTTAATCCAGCTAACATATTCCTCTGCCTGCCTCGGCGCTCCTCGGCGTTTCGAGCTAATTAAGAGGAATATTTTGATTTCTCTGTGTCTTCTCCGTCTTGGTGCCGCCGTGTTGTCTCGGTTCGTGGTCGCTCCGCAGCAGATCTGAATTCCCAGCAGCCTCAGCCACACATTGTGCCCACAGTGCATTTTAAATCAAGAGCCTTCAAATGAGCTGCTTGTGTTGTTCTTGATGCTGCTCATGCTAACTCTTACTGCAGAGAGAGAGAGAGAGAAAGGGAGAGAGAGAGGGAGAGAGACAGGAGAGAGGGAGAGAGACAGAGAGAGAGAGAGAAAGGGAGAGAGAGAGAGAGAGGGAGAGAGACAGAGAGAGTGAGGGAGAGATAGATGGAGAGAGAGAGACAGAGAGAGAGAGATGAAGAGAGAGAGGGAGAGAGAGAGACAGATAGAGAGAGAGAGAGATAATTCAGTTTTATTTCCTTGGCTCGGGCGCCCTGCTTGTTAGATTTAAGATTTCTAACGGAGCTGGGAGGAATTGGTGATGATGAATCGGCCTAAGTTGTGGAGTTTTAACAAAGAGGAGAGACAGAAGAGGTCAGCCTGACAGATTCACTGCAGAGTCTAACGATGCCTTGAGGAATAACTCACAGCCATGTTTGATCCAACACAGTGTGTACACTGTGCAGGGATCAGTCCTGAAACACGGTGAGCTTATGTGGACTCATGCAGGGGTTTGGATTTCAGTATGTGTGTTGACCAATCAGGTATCAGCAGGCTTTTGGGGTATTCATGAAAACAGAGTCTCACACACAGTCCACCATGACACGGCAGCTTCCATGTGATCAGACGATGCTTTGTTTCCCTCTATTCAATATTGATCTGATCCACGCTGCGTTCTTAGAGCCAATCAGCGCTGAGCTTTCCTGCCTTTAGGGGCGGGGGGGGGGGGGGGGCTGAACCGGACCACTGACTCCGGGGTGTCCCAATGAAGAGCATTCATGAACCCTTTCTATCACCACTAAAGGCCACATTTGGATCAGGGATTCTGAGCTGGTCAAGCCAAAATCAGGATCCACATTTTAAATATTTTTCAGCCAATCGGATGAAGAGTTGAGCAGTTTGGACCTCAGGCTGAACAAAGACATTTGGAAGGTGTTTAAAGTGTAAATGTTCAGATAAAAACTTTGCCCACAGTCTTTACCTTAGTTTGTCCTCTGCAGCTCCCGTCAGCTCTGTCGGTGTGCGACCTCTCTTCACCTCAGGCGGGGCTCGCCTCCCGGTCACGGACCAACCTGAGACGTCAAAGTCATCAAAACGTAATGCGACGCTATATCCAACATCTTCCATGAATCAGGAGAAACGTCTCTGTAAGTTTATTCAGCAGACGACCTGCGCGAACACGTGCCACAACCTTCTATCAGAAAGAGACGTCGTGCAAGTGGGAGCTCATCACTTCTGCAAACTGTCCCGCGTGCAAACACATCGTCAGGAGTGAGACGTGACATGCTGAAGAATCAGAGATTCTACTGGAAAACAGGAAAACGCTTCATCTGTTTCTGCTGAGGAAATGTAAACATGGAGAGCGTCGCCTCCTGTTGGAGAGAAAAAGTGAACAACACAGAATACAGAAACATGGATTTCTTCTGATCAGACCTGCTCTCAGTCATGTCTCCACTCAGAGCGAACGGAAGCTGATTAAAGCGATGGCGTTCTCCTCGGGCAGAAAGTGCTGAGTTCAGGTGTTCCTCGTGTTAACGGGCGCTCAGAGAGCTCATCATTCAGTACGCAGAGCCGAGTCAGAGCGTCTCCGAGCGTCGATAAGAGACTGTCCTGCAAGGTTAGTGTTTCAAAGTCTTCCTCTTATCTTTGTCTCTTCTTAACGTGCGGGCAGCTCGGCGCTCGGGATCGTTAAGAGCAGAGATAACGTCTCACCGCTCTGTGAGATTAGAAGCTAAAGTACAGATATCCACCATGACTTTTAACATGACGGGATGTATTTTGATCCCTTTTGGCCACTGTAGCAGTATGTAATTTGCTTTTTTATGAAATGTAAATGTGCCTCAAGCTTTGGTTTGGTTTGGACTTCCCAGCCACCGTAATATGACTTCTTCACACTGCTGATCTGTGTCATTAATATGAACATGAAGTTTGTCTATGAACTCTAAAGCAGCTCAGCCCCCCACCCCTCCCCCCTCCTCTCTCATTCAGTGTTATTACAATCATCTCCTGCAGGATAAATGGCGCCGCACGCTGAGTGAGTCGTTACCTCGGCAGGCGTCTCCTCCATGATTCCTCATCAGGACAAACTGTTCGTCTGACGTCTGATTTCATCTCAGCCTGCACATTACACTCATATTAACTCAATTGACACAAACAGCGTGATTACTGTGTGCTGTTTGCAGCCTGCAGTGGTCAGAGCGAGCTCCGACCCGACTGGAGTTGGAAAAAGACGATGGGAGGGGGAATCCAGGGGAATCCTTCACGTCGGTTTTGATTTGTTGGAGGAGATTGGATTCAGATTGTCCAAAAAGCAGCAGGAAGATTATTCCAGGTCCAAAAGGAGATTTCATCTCGAGCTCATGAAAGTGATCGTCCCTGAAAAACAAGAAAATACAGACGTGGAAAGTGAGGTTTTTATTGCCTCTGAAGCTGCAGCGTTTATTGCATTCCTCCCGTCGGTTCAAAATCTTTCATGAGATGATTAGAAATCATTTCTTCTGCAGTTTTGGTTATTTCCCAGAGGAGCTCCAACATTCAACTTTAAAGTTCCCTCATGTTTACTGAAACCAGGAATGCCAAAAAACCTGACCCGTCAAATTAAAACTAGATTATGACAGAATTTATGACACAACGTTCAGATATTAACCGACCATTCAGGAAGTAACGGCGACCATATTTGGAATCAGAAACAGATTTGATTTGTCCGCACGGACACGCTGAGGATGATTCATGTTTAGAGCGAAACGCTTTCTAAAAAAGTGTTGAGGTGGAGACGTACTGAGAGGCTCAGGTTGTTTTTATATTTGATGTTCCATGAGGATTCTTCTCTTACACTTTGAAAGCAGAGTTCTTTGATTCTGACTGACGCTCAGATTACATTCTTACATCCTCCTCGATATTTACCGTTAGACTAACTGTTAGTCCGTTCACAAAGACGTTAACTCATGCAGCATTTAATCAGTTCATTCTGTTAATTACCACAGGAAGTACTTTCATGTAGGTCAAGCAGCATTTCACAATAAAAGTACAAAGAGCAGATAGGGGCATGTTCTCTCTGAAGTACAGGGTGCGCTATGCTCTCACTCCATGAGCCATCTCACTGTGTAAGGTAAGCTCGGTTTAGACGTCAATGGAAACTGAATTTAAAAGGAAGTTAAAGGCAGGGTTGGTAATTTTCTAGAACTAGCATGACTTTGAAAGTAGCATTCCCTTAGTGCTACGTCTGCACCATGAGTTATTAATTTCTGTCAGGACCTAAAGACAATTTCAACCACAATCTTAAAAAGTGGATCTAGAGGAAATTACCAACCCTGTCTTTAAAGGTTTTAAGTCCCCATGAAATGAAAAAGCATGTTTCTGGTTTGACTATGGTCTCCTGTATGATCTCAGTATTCCTACATCATTATAAATGTATTTTCTCTTCCTGTAAATTGTTTTAAAACGTCTGATCACTCATCCTGCACTCAGGGGCGTTTACTAATTTCCAACCAATTAAAAGCTTTAACGAAGCCAATGATCCAATCAAATTCATCTCCACGTTCTTCACCCTCTGTCATGTGATTGGTTCTTTCTCGTTTCAGTATGCACTGAACATGCAGGTGAACAGAGTGTGTTCAGGTGAACAGAGTGTGTTCAGGTGAACAGTGTGTGAGCAGGTGAACAATCTGTGGAGAGTGAAAAAGATTGAAGGGAAAATGCAATTGAAGAACCCGTCGACTGTATTAGTATCACGTCTCTGAGGTGATGCACAAAGAGTCAAACAGGTGTAAACCAGCTGATTAGCCTGCTGTCTGTTAAACATCCTGACACACACACACACACATACACACACACACACACACACACACACACACACACACATATACACACACACACACACACACACACACACACACACACATATACACACACACACACACACACACACACACACACACACACACACACACATACACAGTTATCAGCGGACTCAGACCCTCCACAGCGCTGCACGCTGTTTCTCTGACACAGATTAAACGCTGTAATTGATTTCTTCCTGCAGCTTGTAGAGATGAAAACAAGAACATTAGCTGAACATGAATTCTTTTGTATCAGGACAGGAATCCTTTTAGCAAACCTGTCCTTGCTCTGAGTCCCCCTGAGGATCAGGATGGAGGGTTTCCTCCTTACACTGCAGCTTCTGGGCAGAGAGAGGATGGCTGATGGACGCCCGGCTGAAGGGCATGTAGATGTTAGTAGATCCATCACTGTCTCCAACCAGATCCCTGCAGACTGAAGGCTTCTACCTAACTTGGTTTTAAACATGAAGCTACTTCGCTCAGATGCGTTGAAGTACCTGCTGCATGTTAAAGTTCCTGATGAATGTTAAAGTTCCTGATGAATGTTAAAGTTCCTGCTGAATGTTAAAGTACCTGCTGCAGGTCTCTGATTGGTGTTTGGTTGTCATTTGCTGCAGATTCACGGAGTTCCTGGAGCCCTTTGAGAGAGTGATTCAGCCCGAGGAGCTGTGGCTCTACAGGAACCCTCTGGTGGAGTCAGATCACATCCCAAAGAGGGTCATGTTTGTAAGTACCTGCTGTGTCTTTAATGATCCTCCGATTTTGAGCTTCACTAAATAAACCTGCTCTTCACTACGCTCTCTGTGTAAGTCCTGATGTCTCCTGGCTGCAGAGATCATCAGACGGTTAAACTCTTTTATTAACGTCTGAGGAGCAGCACGATGCAGATAACCAGGAGAAGAGCGTTAATGATGCTGTGGTGAGGAGTGATTCCTAAACATGAACGTGTCAGTTAGTTACAGATTGAACATATCTCTCTGTCTCTCTCTCTGCAAATTAAAGAACAGAAGACTCTCCTGGCAGGCTCTGCTGTCCCACTCACACTGAAGCATCTGCGCTTATTTTAAGCTCAATAACACAATCACAGGCTCCAATGGCTTTAGAGCGCAGCATGCTGGGCGTCGCAGAGCTCCGTCCAGGATTCCTATGAGTCACAGTGTGGACGCTTCTATTTCCAGAGAGTTATTTTGGTCCAATCTGGCGACTCCGAGGATGCAACAACAAGCTGGCTGTTTTTAAAACCTGAGGAAACTCAGCCTGCAGAATTTTAACTCACAGTGCCTCAGTGTGAAATGTGTGTGTGTGTGTGTGTGTGTGTGTGTGTGTGTGTGTGTGTGTGTGTGTGTGTGGGGGGGTGATAATAATACATAGCTTTAATTTAGATAAATGTTGTTTTATTTTAGGAGCCCGTTTGACAAGAGGAGCCGCAAAACATCCAAACGAAGTCAAACCCTTGAACACATGCACTGACTTGTCAACTGACTCATCTTAGAGGAGATCTCTTCTGCGGATCCGTCTTTAGATATAAACATATCAGGTTACGACGTCCTGTGATTGGCTAGCAGACAGTCCAGGGTGTAACCCCGCCTCTCGAGCGGTAAAAGATAATGTATGGATGGATGATGTTACGATGTTGATACTACGATGATACTGAACCTCGGCACTGCTCTGTTTTTTCTACTCCAGACCGGTCTCAAGTCCACTTTAAGAAGGTCTCGGTCTCGTCTCAGAATCATCTTGTCTTGTCTTGGTCTCAGACTAGACGGACTCTGGATAAGAGAAACAAATAATCTGTGGGTCCTGATGAAGGCTGCACGACTTCTGAAGGCCGTTTCCCTCGTTCTGTACTGAACCGGAGTATTTTTAGACTGACCCACTTCTGAGCTCGGCTCGTTTGGCTTCAGATGTTTGTGTCAACAGAGAGAGAGAGAGAGAGAGAGTCCAATTAGTGCTCCAGAAACACACAGAACATTATTGATTCTTCTGCTGACCCGACGAGGGCCAGGGAACGCAGCGGCAAAGCTAACAGCGGGGGGCCGGGGGGGGCTTCAAATCAGTCCCTGATGAGAAAACTATCAGCGCTTTGATTCTTGGTGTTCAACTTCAGTAGAGAGCGTACCTCCAAACTCTGAAGCTGCTGCTACTCGAGCCCCCCCTCCCTTCAGGACCCCATGAAATAAGTGATCCAATTTAAGTGATCATTGATAAAATCAGAATTTGCCTTACCTAAAGACCTTTGTATGAACGATGTAAATGTTTAAACATGATAATTTAAACGACCTCAGAGCCGACCAAGCCTCACGCCCCCCCCTGAGATCTGTGGCGCCCCCTCTATGAGGGCCTGGACCCCAGGTTGGGAACCACAGCTCTAAAGCACTGTTCACACAGGATGAGTATTACCTGGGGACCTCCGTGATTTTGGAACCTCCCCGAAAATCCGTGATTTGTGCGGTGCAGTCTCACAGGTAAAACAAAGTGTGTAATTAACCTCCAATGAGGCGCTGCATGACATCAGCCTTGTATCAGGGGGGGGAGAGACTTTAGGAGGAGCACTCGAGGAACTGCAGGATCTTACACTTATCAACCGGCTTCATTTTTCCACACCACATGTTGCTGCTTGGTCATAACCTGGGGGCCCCCCTGTGATAACCCCGGGCCCCCCCTTAGGGGTCCCTCGCCCCACATTCTGAATCTGATGTTTGGGTTTAACCTTCATATCGTTTATTGATTTAGTCATTTGTTGTTTTATTACATGTGAAATAAAGATATCAATCAATCAGATGTTTAAAAAGAGTCGGTGACTCAGTCCTGACTCTCTGTCGTTCAGATGATTCTTCTGTGTGAGTACTAACTTTCCTCTTTGCTGCTAGCTGTTTGATGAAAATGTCTCAGCAGATTAATCGGCTCAGACCTCCTGCTCTCTGCTTGTTTAGCTGACGTCTCTGCAGACTGATGGAGTCTGACTGACTGCCTCTCACTCTCTCTCTGCTCCTCCTCTCACATCACTCATTCATCCTGAGCCTGAGCTCTAACTGTCACACTGTCAAACCAATCAATTCCTCCAAAATTTGGTTTAAGTAAAACTTTTTATTTTGAAGAAGAAACCAAGCTGCAATCCCCATAGAGCTCCATGCTAACGTTGCTAACTGGACTTTTTACATGCTCACACATACAAACACAGTTCCTTTCCCACTATGTTGACGAGCAGAGACACCTGAGTGGACGACAGAGGTCGCCGGTTAAGATGAGACTTGGTGGGAAACAACTTTGAAAATGAAAATGAAATGGTAATTTCAGAGGATTAGAGAGGACATCATTGTTCACTTGGTGTGCTCGTCACAGCTGTGAAAGTTTGTTTTTGTGTTTTCATGAGGACGAAGATGATTTTGAGAACTGAGCGTGTGGACGTAAGTATTTGAAGGAAGAAGGAGTGGGCGAGGCCTCAGATTGTAGAAACATGTCAGAATAAAACGATTTTTATCCGTACAAACTGATTGATGAGGACGGTTGGGCTCCATTAATCATTTCTGAAACCTTTGTTTCAGACTCATTAAACCACTGATTTAGTCATTAACAGAAGTGCGTCTGTTCATGTATTTTTTTAAATTTTATATCTTAACTTCTACCTTCCAACCTGCAGACGGATTTCAGTCTGACTGAATGAACACTATCACGCAGAAGAGATGATTCCTTAGTGCCTCCATCAGGTCATCTCAACACAGGACAGGTGTAACGTGAAAAAAGGACGTAAAAGACGTCCACCAGCCAACATGGCCGACGTACGACGAGCAGCAGATTCAGAGCAGAGAGACAAAGTTCAACACTTTCTCGCAGATTTATTTTTGGGCTTTTTGTGCCTTTAATGGAGAGATAGGGCAGTTGATAGAGCTGGAAATAAGGGAGAGAGAGAGTGGGGAATGACATGCGGGAAAGGAGCCACAGGCGGGACTCGAACCTGGGCCACCCACCCAGAGGACCACAGCCTCCACATATGGGGAGCGCACACTAACCACTGTGCCACCAGCACCCCCAGTTTCTCTAAATTTGAGCTGAACTTCAGCTGGCTTCAGTTAGCTTTCAGTCAGCTTTGCACACAAACAAACGTCCTTCAGAGACACTCTGACACTGAGGACATTTCAGAGACGGCACAGTTCGACACTTTAACTGCAGAAAACATGAAGAATCATAACTTGTATTTTAACCAGAGAGTCAAGTGTCTGTTCTTCTGCTGTAGTAAAGTATGTGTGCACTTTTTCCACCTCGGACATCCTTTAATCAAACTGTCAACAGATTATATTCACTTCAGTGTCAGGGGGATGTTTTCTTCTGACAGCTCTGTAAATAATGAAAGAGGTAGAAAAGACTTGGGGGGGGTTTTCTCCTGACCACACAGCTCTCTGATGAAACATCCAGCAGTCAGATTTCTTCAGCATCATCTCGCTGATAGCAGCGCTGCAGGTGAGCGGGGTCTATCCCTGCTGTAGAGATCTACATGAGTCTGCTCTATGACTCACTGTGACCTTCATTAAGATGTGAACTGTGTTATTCACTCTCTGTGGGATTATTTCTTAATAAAGGATTGCAATATTACCACTGTTATTCATAGATGTGTCCAATTATGTTACAGCAAGAACCTCCTGAACAGTGAAGTGTGTTCTCAGGCTCTGATTCACTAAGAATCATCAAAGTCTCTAATGTCTCCATAACGCCTTCATCATGTTCTCCCTCTCTCTGCTTCGTCCCTAGGTCTAACTTTCAAAGCATAAACATACTGTATATGTAGCTCTGATGACCTTCAGACACAAACACGGTTAGCTCTAGTTGGAGAATGTGGAGAGAAGCAATCTGCACTCTCACTCTGATGGAGCTGTACTCTCATACTGACTGAGCTGCACTCTCACACTGACTGAGCTGCACTCTCACACTGACTGAGCTGCACTCACACTGACGGAGCTGCACTCACACTGATGGAGCTCAGTTTTGTCCACATAAAGATGATGAGAAACTTTGGACACTATATCAAGATAAATTCTAAACATGTGATTTATAACAAAACTTCCCTGAATGGAGCAAGAAAGGACGACTCACTGATAACAACATGTGGAATGATTTAACCCCTGGTTGTATTATTATAAATATTAAATTTAATATGAGACAAGCTCATTTAGCTCATCAAACCTTGAAAGTGTTTTTATTCTTCAAAGTGTTTCCATTTAAACCGAGATCCTCGTGAGCGCTGCGTTCCTCTTCTGACTCCTCACATGTGTGACAATTGAGTCATGCTCACAGCACTGAGGTGTATAACTTTAGTTTATGAGGAGATACTTTAAGACACACACTGTCAGGAGGTGTCAAGGAAAGGGGGCAGCTGGGGGCGTTTAGGTGCAGACCTCCCCAGAGGAACTTGGGGAAGGGGGGCAATAAGAAAGCATTGATGATCTCTTTGTAGTCTATATTCAGTAGATTGTAGTTTTTACACTGCAGACCTATCATCCTAGGCTCGCCGTGTGATAAACAGAAAAACCTGTTTAACAACTGCTTCCATCGCTGCAACACCTGTTGGTTTGACCTGATAACTGCTCTCATATCTGGCAAACTGAGGGACGTCCAAAACGGCCGTATGGGGGTTAATGTCTGATCATATAGTAAGGTCACTTTATCATTTCACTCACTACACATCTCACTGATTGGACCTTTAAAGTAGTTACAGTTTAAAAGTTTGTTTCGCAACTTCACAGAAACACTCAGTGAAATGTGTAATAATGATGGAATCTAAACTCGGGGTCTGTTTTTAAGGAAATAAATGAAATTGAGCTGAAAGGAGTGAAAACGGTGTGAATAAGGAGCTGCATGCTGTGGAGGCTGAAAGATCTCCTCTGAGCTGCACATAAACCCTAATGAACAGTAAAGAGGTTTGTTTGGCTTCAAATTAACTCTGAGTAATGGATCGCTGCTCGTGTCTCCCTCAGGCTGAAGTCGTTTCAGGATTAACCTGCAGATAGAGCGTCTCTGATGA